CCCACTAATTTGGCTAGTTGTGTGACTCACTGGCCATGTTCAATACTAATGAAGAGTACTACTGTAATATGTCCTTTCATTATACCTGTTTGGGCTTTAGTGTAGGGTACAGTTTGAACATGCACAGTCTTTAGTGTAGGGAAGGCTTTATGTTAACTCACTGGTGTGTGCCACAGGGCTAAACTTATATGATAACAATAAAAAAATTATACAGTCTTTAGTGTAGGGAATGCTTTATGTTAACCCACTGGTGTGTGCTCCAGGGTTAAACTTATATGATAACAATAAAAAAATTATACAGTCTTTAGTATAGGGAATGGCTTTATGTTAACCCACTGGTGTGTGCCACAGGGCTAAACTTATATGATAACAATAAAAAAAATTATACATTCTTTAGTGTTGGGAATGGCTTTATGTTAACCCACTGGTGTGTGCTACAGTGATAAGGTGAAATGTGTTAAAAGTTTTAAATATCTTGGATATGGTCATCAGTGTTTTACATGATTGAAGTTTCTAGGTTTCTGTTGATGATAGTAGTATAACCAATACTTAATATTTCTGTTTTGTATGTCTATTCTTTAGCTGGACATCAAACTTCCAGGGTTGCCTCTCCGAGTAGTCATGGAGGCAGTTCAGCAAGCCTCAGGTAAATTTCAAATCATGTGTTAGTCATGGAAGCAGTTTACATATTTACTGGTAGATGAAAAGTCATTGAGGCAGCTGAATGAGCCACTGATGTGTTTAAAGTTATGTGGTAGTGAAGTCTTTTTAGAATACATACCACAATGTGATACCCACACACTAACTTAGTTTTCATATTAATATTAAAACTACTGCACATTATGTTGTTTGGCTGTTGAAAGACTGTCATGATATATAAGACTCTTTAGTTTAAATATTATTGATTAATTTATTTTTGTAGTGAATATTTTATTATTGTTTAGTTTTTGTTATTATAAGAGTTAAAGACAGACGGACAATAGCAAAAGAGAGTAAAGTTACAACAAGGAATAGTTCGTTACGAAGTTAACTACCTTAGAAGTGATAGGCCTAACATGTAATATGTTAGAGTAAGACTAACTGTAGAAAAGGAGATAAAAATGATTTATTCCATCAAAGCGTGGTTCTAAAGTAATTGAATCGGCCTGGGTATACTTTGACAAAAGGAACAATGGATAATAAAATATTTCTCATTTGAAAGTGGGTTAAATTACTGTTTGCTCTACACACATTTACTGATGATTTGTTACCTGAAACTGGCCAGTTGTCTTTCTTCTCTACTCTTGGTTTGCTCATTGTTTGATTCATGATGTTCAGAACTTCACTCTTTCCATCTACAAAATAATTATAATTAGTAATAATATATACATCTATTTCTTTTGTGGTGTGCTCTTTCATATCTTTTAAGGTATCTATGAATATGCATTTTCTATTACAATAACCTTTTTTTTCACATGAATATCCCTTTACATTTCTGCCTGTCAACTTTATATTGTCATATTGTTGTGTCTAAAAAGTGAAGGTATAAGAATACAGATGGTAAAGTGAACAGCAAACTAGTGTAGTATCAGATGACAAACCCTCAGTAATCCATGTAAAGTGAACAGCAAACAAGTGTAGTATCAGATGACAAACCCTCAGTAATCCATGTAAAGTGAACAGCAAACTAGTGTAGTATCAGATGACAAACCCTCAGTAATCCATGTAAAGTGAACAGCAAACTAGTGTAGTATCATATGACAAACCCTTAGTAATCCATGTAAAGTGAACAGCAAACTAGTGTAGTATCAGATAACAAACCCTCAGTAATCCACGTAAAGTGAACAGCAAACTAGTGTAGTCTCAGATGACAAACCCTCAGTAATCCATGTAAAGTGAACAGCAAACTAGTGTAGTATCATATGACAAACCTTTAGTAATCCATGTAAAGTGAACAGCAAACTAGTGTAGTCTCAGATGACAAACCCTCAGTAATCCATGTAAAGTGAACAGCAAACTAGTGTAGTATCAGATGACAAACCCTAAGTAATCCATGTAAAGTGAACAGCAAACTAGTGTATTTTCAGATGAAAAACCCTAAGTAATCCACGTTAAGTGAACAGCAATCTAGTGTAGTCTCAGAATATTGATTCTAGTCCATTTTGAGGTGACAAACCCTCAGTAATCTGTGCAGAGTGAATATTGATTCTAGTCCTTATTCAGGTGACAAACACTCAGTTATCTGTGTAGAGTGAATATTGATTCTAGTTTTTATTCAGGTGACAAACCTTCAGTAAGCTGTGTAGAGTGAATATTGATTCTAGTCCTTATTCAGGTGACAAACCCTAAGTAATATGTGTAG